CTGGTGCCAGCATATTGGCTGCTGTGCGCAGGGCCATCATCGCTGTTAAACAACAAATGCGTAGTGCACTTCGCGGCTACATCTGGATCACGTGCGGCCACCCCGCGATCACTGACCATTCCTTTTGGCTAGGGACGGCGGGGGTGCTGGCATAATGCTTACTGTGTGCAAGCCCACTAGATATAATGATGGCCACCCCGCAGCGATTGCGCATTGGTTTTTGACAAAGCATGGCGGGGGCCGAGATGTTTCCCGATGTGTGCTGTCACGTGCGCGGGTGCACCTGGCACTATGCGCGTGCCCCGAACGTGGCGCACCGGGCGCGGCTGGAGCATGCGGCACACATGGCGCACGTAGAGCACGACGCGGATCTGGCACACCAGGCGTGCCTGGCACGCTTGGGCCCCGGGGGTGCCTAGTGCACCTGGCGAGCGCAGTGCGCCTGACACGCGTGGCGCAGCTGGGGTCTGTGCTGATTCCCAGCAGCTGCCCATCCAAACACGACCGCTGAGCATGCTTAGGCCCGGGTGCCACTCCTGTGTTGGGAGGCCGGGTGGGAGTGAGCGAGACGGCTTGCAGGCGCGGAGGGTCGCTGGATGACTGCTACCATGAGAGAACACCTGCTCCCCAAGGCGACGGGCAGCCAACTCGTCCCCATGCCAACACCCCCCCAACAATCTCTGTCAAAAGCAATACAACATACAGTCAGCCTCCCAATCTGGAGCATGCGCGGATGCCCCGCGACCACTTTGCATCGGGTTTTGGCAGGGACGGCGGGGTGGCCCTCATCTCGCTTGCTGCGCGCAACCCACCATCCCTTTGATAAGCAATACAGCAGGTACATATAGAGAGAGAGAGAGAGAGAGAGAGCCGCCGAATATGGAGCATGCGCGGGCTCACCGCGACCACGTTGCATTGGTTTTGCAGGGAGCGTCGATGGCTCAGAGAGCAGAAGATGACCTCCAGGATGGCTCAGGATAGCTTGCAGCTTGCCCCAAAAAGCCCCCAAACCGCCCAAAGACGGCTCGAAGTGGCCACAGAGCCTCCCGAGGAAGCCACCAAGAGGCCCAAATCCTTCAACGACCAGAGGAAAGCCAGTGCGGTTTGCCTTCTTGCCTTTTCGCTTTCGACGGCCCTCCATTGTCTCAAGGTAGCTTTAAGAAGGCAGCCCCACGGGGAGCCCGAAAGGGTCCCAACACGGCCCCTAGAGCGCCCAAGAGCGTTCCAAGCATGCCCCAAGAGGCGACCGTCTTTTTTTTCAGCCAGGAAGACGCCGACCACTCAGCAGACCAATGGCAACCTCACCGTGCCCGTGAGGAGGACCACGAGGTCTGGCCAGAACAACCCAGCGGATAGCAACTCGTGCTGGCCAGCGCCCAGAGGCGACTGTCGTGGCTCTAGAGGGGCGATGCTAAGTAAAGCTCCCCCTTCTTTGGTTGATGTCCAACCGGGATGCCCCCAAGAGGGCCCCCGAGGCACTCAATAGTGCCCAAGTGGGCCTCAAAGAGGCACCCAGGAGGCCCCAAGAGGCCCCAAAGAGGCCCCCAAGAGGCTCTCAGGAGACCCCCAAGAGACCGCAAGAGGCTGACCCCGAGGAGCCCAAGACGCTCCAAGAGGCCCCCGGGAACGCGACGAGACTTCCAAGATGCCCCAAAAGCACTCCAACACGCTCTCGAGAGACATCCGAAGAGACTCCGAGAGGCATCCAATAGGCCTCTGGCCTTCTGTTCGCCCT